TAATTCCATCTTCTTTAAACATTAAGAATCAATGAAATGTATCTGTTGAAGGAATGCCTTTCTGAATGAAAGTACCCTCCCACTCAAGTAGTAACAAGACATTTAGCTTTCATGCAGTGTCACTTTTCATCCACAGGTGCCATAGTGCTTTGCTCAGGCCACCTATAACTGATGACTACCCGATGCAGAAGGCTTGTCTGGGCTGCACAGAGAGACAGCAAGGCCCTGGCAGAGTTGTGCACCAAATAGCCTGAGCTGTCTGACATGCTCTGCACAAAGCTGCTGAATTAGTCACACAAGAATGGCACCAACAAGAAAAGCATGGTAAAACTGTGACATTTGGGACAATACAGCTCAGCAATGAATACAGCATGCTTATACTCATGAAAAGGTACATGAGGTTCAGGAAAAGAAAAACAGAATTACAATTAAGACTATAAACAAGACTTTCTGTGATTAAGTCTCTTCATTATGAGATGAGTATTATCCCATGACTAGATATGTGCTCTTTAGAATCAGACTCCTCTGTAAAGGAAATTGCTTTTGAAATTTTCACATGACATGGAATTAGGGATTATTCTTTTTAAAATATATGCTTTCTTGAACACTTTTGTCTTGACTGAATAAAAATACATAATATGTAATGTACATTATATAAAGCACATAAAATAAATGAAATGTAAGTACATATAAATTAAGATGTATAAAATTAAAAATATAAAATATACAAATATAAAATATACAAAAGAATTCAAGGAGAACAGAGAATTTAATCACATAGCAGATTTCAGGTTTTACCTTGTTCTCTCTGAAGCGTTCCAGACCACTTAATCATGTCAGAAGTGGACAAAAAGGGAAGCATTTTGTAATAAAATCAATGAAAGTTTGTTTTGAAAAGGTGAAAAGAAAAGAAAGAAATAGATAAAATGCTGACCTTTTTCTTTACTGAAACTGTTTAGTAATTGAATTGAGAATGCAGTTTACAGGGTTACAAGGTTCAGATGTAGATTTTTACAGGAGCAGGGCTTCTGTTTGCTATTTTTAGTGGGGGACTGTAAGCATATTTTGGAGTTTTAATTTCATTACATTTTTAATCTAAAAAATTATGCTTGTTTTGCATGCTGTTAGATTTATATTGTGTCATAGTTCTATTCTATATGCACAGTCAGGATGAGAATGTGCGAGGGCTGATGTTTTACTGTGGTACTTAGTCTGTTTCTCCCATAGCATTTGTTAAAAAGTGGGGAATAAATACAGAAATGGAAAACTATTTACTACCTAAATCCACAGGTAGATGGTGAAAGACCTACCAGTCTTCGGACCCTCTGGACAGACCTGCCAGCAGGGTAAGCATGAGGCTATGAAGTTTTGAAGGACACCTTGCAGCTAAGGGGTGGTATCAGCTCTTGGCTGGTGCCCATCCGAGCAGAATGGATTTACTAACAAAAAGTACTGTGCACGATGTTAGCATTCTTCAGAGCCACATGCTCTGTCAGCCCTTTCATTTTAAATATGTATTACTTTTAGAAAGGGAAGTTTACTTTGACTGCACTGTTTCACTTTCCTTAAAACACATTAAATGCAATGATCCTTTTAAAGACGCTTACTGAAGTATAGATGATGTGGTTTGTGCCTCTTCCTTATCTCAAGGGATATAATGCCTCAAGATCACAGACCTAGTACACACAAGATACACTACTCATTCATATTAAACCATTCAGCATGCATTGAATGTCATGGAATTAAAATAATGTTTAGAAAGCCACAAGATTTTGCTTTTCTCTTTGGTGAAATATCTTGAAAACACTCAAGTTACGATGAGGACAAAGGAGATCTCCTTCTGTATTATACAAACCCTAGTTATTAATGTGAGGATGAAGCCAATTAGAGATTAGGTATATGGCTGAGAAAAAAATTAAATCTAAACCCTCTTATACTTGCATTCATACAACTGCATTGCTATTCATAACAATTCCATAACTGAGAAATGAACTGAATCCAGTTTCTTTAACCCAGGGACAAATTTAACTCAAGAACGCAGGTGCTTTGTATTCTGCACGTGTGAATGGTCTACAGCTTTTCTGTGTTATTAGTCTAGTTTCAACCATTTTAGCAATTCCACTGTATTTTGTTAACAGCTTTTGGTTTCCACCCTTTTTCATTTTCCCTTTCTCCTGCCAGACCCTTAATCAGCTTCTCTGGGAATTTATATAGCTCCCATGACTGCTGTATAAGAACACCTAAAAAACATTAATGCCTTTTTATCTTCACTGCACCTTTATTCATAAGAACAGTGTTAATTCACATTATACAGTGAAGGAATAAAAGGACAGAGAGATTAAATAACTTGGTTATCAGTGGAAGAGAAATCTGTAAAGCACCAGGAACTGAAGGCAAATACGCCTTAACATTAGCCCCAAGTACCTCCTTCCTACTCTCTGCTCATTGCAGAGCACGAACAGCCTCAAGCATTTGTTGCTCTGTCCAGGCACTCTTGAAGTTCCATAGTGGAGGTGCCTGTGCTGGAAGTCTGTTGTAGCACCTCCATGGTGAGAAAGCAGCTCTCTCAAAGGATAATGAGAATCAAAGTTAGGAGCCCCTCTCTCTTTCCCTTCCTCTCACTCTGTCAAACAGCTAGGATGCTTGGGTGTCTAAATCAAGCACCCAAACCAGCTCTCTAAAGTAGAAGGTATGAGTCATTTAGCTAACTTAAAATGTCCTGTACTGATCTACAAAGAGAATCCCATGAAGTTTTTCATGCCACTTTTACCTGCCTACGCATATGGATCACTCATCATAGTAGTATCTGAATGGCTGGTTTAACTAGTCACATTAATTTTCGTGTTTTAACACTGAATTTTGACTACTGGTTGCTGTATTCATTTCTAGTTTCTTCTAATTTTTGTCCAACATGAAGAATGTCATTATATTATCATAGGGAGAGGTGGGGTGGGGTGTGAGCAAGTTTCACAAATTCTGCAATAGCTCCCACCTCTCCTGCAACCCACTGACTCTGCATGGCACTTTATCTGCCTATCGATAATCCTTTATCATGTTCTGTAATAAAATCACGTTCTCCCACGTGCTGCTTTTTCTTTTCTCTCTTCTCTTGTTAAGATATTGGGGGTTTAACAACTGGTGCAGCTTGAATTTTTCTCTGTGGCCCTAAAAGGAAGCCACGGTGGATTAAGAGGTAACTGAATGTTGCCTGATTGTTTTGTTTCCCTGTTTTGGAGAATGCCATCTACATAGACATAAATATGTACAGTTACTTATCTGTTTATCTCACATTGCATAGATATTTCCTGCTTCTCCACACTCCCACCCCATACAACAGGTTGTAAGAGTACAAAATGCCTCTGACCCAACCACATACCTACTAACAGGCAACTCTGTGTCTCTCTTCCCTGTGAGTGTGCACCTGCAGGACTAATGCTATGGAAGAGGGGTGCCTACTCCCTTGCAACTTTGTGCAGAAATGGGATCAAATTTATTGGGGGGAGCGTCAGAATTTGAGAGTTATGTTTTATAGAACATTTGTTTAGTGTAATAAACATCTGCAAATGACTATTTATTTCATGAAGTAATTAACATTCCTAATTAGATGCACCTTGCAGCTGCTGTTAATCTTAATTGGCAATAATGCAGTTACATTTTGATACATATCTTCGGAAGAGTTACAGAAGACAAGGAGGGAAAAAAAACCGACAAAAATCTGAAGGGAAGGAAATAAAACTGTTCCCACACAGTTCAGAGAGTTCGCACAAAGAAGATCCCATGGCAACAGCGAGGCCCACAGTTTGCCTTATAAAAATCCAAGAATAGATAATGTATCATCTCTCCTAAAACACTTCGCTTCGGAACCGGAGGGGAAGGTGGGGAGAAAAATAAAATAAAGCACAAGAGGAGAAGAGAAGAAGGGTGAC